TATCATCTGAATTTCCAGTGGCTGTCCAAATTACTTCCATCCTTTCATGAACTACAGGGAATGCAGCTCTAGGACATAATCATGGCTATCTAATAACTGCATCCAGTGACTCACAACATGAATGTCATCTAGCTCCTCAGGTAATCCACTGTCTTCAGGAAGCACTCTGACCTTCCTCTCAAAAGTCAACATGGTTTCCTCAGTCTAAAATCTCTAGCAACCGTTGGTGTGTATTGCCCTTCCAAGATTTTTATGTCCTAAGTTCAAAAGCTACTCTGGTCTACAGTGTAAAGAGAAGAAAAATACTTTTTTTTTGGCTATAGGAAGCATAGTTTTTTATAATAGAGAGAGCCTCAGAAGCATCTAAAATAATTAAGAAACTGTTTAGTGAACACGCCAACTAAAGAAACATATATTTATATATAGATATATATATTCCTTTTATTTTACAGAAAGCTCAATAAAATATTAATAAGCTACATAAGCCTTTTAAGGGTTTACACTATGGAGTAATAATCCATGCCGACTGCTATAGATGGCTGACAACACAGCGTGGGGAATTAGCACAGCACAATTTACACCCTATTGTGCAATTCTGCTTAATTTAACAGCAAGAACTCAGCCCCCCCTGTGTTTCTATAAACATCTAACAATAGAAGCTTAATTCTAGAGAATTTCCTTCAAAATAAACCTGATCAAATCCTTACTATGACAACAGATGGTGATAGAGCAGATGTAACATAGGACCTGAAAGTTCAATAATTATCAGTCAAGAGCTGCAGAATGGGTACTCTGAAGATCTATAGTAAAGGCATGTTAAAAAAAAAAATAAAAATCAACAGTCATGCAAATTTCAGGAGAGAAAAATAATACCCCCCCCCGCAACCCAGAAAAAAAAACAAAACAAAAACCACAGAAGAAAATAGACCTCATAGCAGCCTTCCAATATCTGAAGGCGGCCTATATGGATGCTGGGGAGGGACTCTTCATTAGAGACTGTAGTGATAGGACAAGGGGTAACGGGTTAAAACTTAAACAGGGGAAGTTTAGATTGGATATAAGGAGGAAGTTCTTTGCTGTAAGGGTGGTGAGGCACTGGAATAGGTTGCCCAGGGAAGCTGTGAATGCTCCATCCCTGGTGGTGTTCAAGACCAGGTTGGAAGAGGCCTTGGGTGATATGGTTTAGTGTGAGGTGCCCCTGCCCATGGCAGGGGGGTTGGAACTAGATGATCTTAAGGTCCTTTCCAACCCTAACTATTCTATGATTCTATAAAATACATGTCAGGAGAAGGAACAAAATCCTGTCCTTAATGTATGTGCAGAATGACTTGATTTATTTTGATTACACTCTATTTAATCATTCCAATCATTCCAATTTAAAAATATTAATACAATAGGAATGTCATCTTGAAACTTATTATACTGCAATTAAAAAAAAAGTGGGGGTGTTTCATACAGATGTTTAGAACAGGCATGGTTCTATCAGTCCATCTGAGCAACGCAATTCACTTTTTTTAAGCATTTAGAGATGCAGCAAAAGATAGTGGCTTGAGTGACAGGTAAGCCAGCCACTCTGTCATTTGCATGTATTCACCTTTATGCATTGTTTACAAGTTAGGTTTTATTAAGTAAACTCACAAAGCAGAAGTTTTAGAAGTGATTTTAAATTAGATTGTTCTAACTGCATAAGTTTAATCAAGCTGAACTGAGCCTAGGAAGCCAAAATATGAGGTGATAGTACATTGCTGATCTAGTACAGCTGCATGTAGCTGTTCTTATTAAACTGTATTGAAAGCAAGAGAAAATGGGCATATCCATGTGTATTTGTGAATGTCATCAAGATGTAAATATGCCTGAAAAACACTGGGATTCGCAACAATCAAGTGCTGTGGAGTTTCACACGCACAATTATGTCCCACTTGCCTTAGTGTGGCACAAGTCCATTACACCATAATACTGTTTTAAAACTGAGTTAAACAAAGTTGTGGAGAGGAAATCAGACCCTGTCTCATTCTCATATAATTCTCACTATAAACTGTTAACTTTGAACAGGACAGCTACCAATTCTTTTTCCATAAATGCAGGGAAATTCTAGAGGGAAAGTTTCCTCCTAAAAAATGAAAATTAAAATTATTTAACAAGAACATCTTATCTTCTGCAGAGACATGGCAAATCTTTCAAAAATGCTCATGTTGCAGCAGATAGAAGAGAAACAGTGTTCAATTTAAAGGATTATAGCATTCTTCCCCATTATCCTTTTTCTTATGAATTCAACATTGATTAAAGGTGAAGGGCCTTTGAATTCATCTTAATAGAGATAAAACATTCAGTGTGAGAAAATAAAGTTTTAAATACACTGCTCTGCCCAGATATTCTAATCTCTGTTTCATGTGAAACCTTGACACTCAGCATTTGTTTGTGTAGTAGAGAAACGAAAGGCTATTATTTGCTGCATTTGTGAACATATATGTGAACACAGCCATAATCCAATAAAATGGAAAATCAGCTCCTTGGGTTTGACAAGTACTGAATCTGCTTTGCACTGCTAGCTTTTCGAGTAAAGGAAGTTTAAAGTGTAATCAGAAAGGTACTACTTTCCCAACAGCAATTTAGAAACATTTTTACTTGCACATGTAGGGACAGGAGGTGAATTGAAGGCAAGAATGAGATTTAGATCTAAACTTTCAATTCCACTGCGCACCTAAACCAGATGTAACCAATTCATCCTCCTAGTGTGGCAATCAGTAAATGTCAAATCTCAATATAATCCAAATAGCAAATGACGGTCATAGTGCGTAGTAAAATCTCCCGTAACTGGAGGCAATATATTTGGTTTCCCACCCTGAGAAGGATCAGAAGATTTTGTAAGAAAGACTATATAATACTGATTTCCTTAGATGCTATCAAGTCAATTTTCAGCTGAGATCAGCACATTCACAAACTCACGATGGCTAATGTGAAGACTGGGAATTGAAAAGGAATGGGCAGTGCTTGTCCTCAATACACTACCAGAGTTTATTAAGGTAGGGTGTATTTTCTTGTCATTTGGAAAGGGTTAGTCGGGAAGCTGATGCCACCTTTCAGAACTCAACTCTTAAGGATGGCTCTTGTGGGAGATGAGATTAGCTGTAATCAGCATAACAGCTGAACAGCAGTGATGAGTTCCAAGAAAAGGAAACATGAGTTTCCTCTCCCTTCACTGATCAAAGAGAGAAGCCTCTAGCTGAAACCTTGAAATATTCTATTCTTTGTGCCTCTCTGCTATGAGGTCTTTATTATTTTTCATCTGGAATTATGGAAATTTTGTATATAATATAGTACCCTTTTTAGTGCATATTTAAAATGCACATTATGTTTTCAGTACCAAGTGATTTTTTTTTTTTTCTCAACATGATGATATTCTCTTAGATGGCACTATGTGTAGCCTGTACATAAGTACCAGTATGGAAAACACAACCAATTTCCTAAATTTTTTGCCACCGTCTAGTGGCTTTCTTTATTACTGTCAGTTCAGAAAGGGGAAACTTTATTTCCCTGTCCTCTCACAATCTTCCTCAACAGTATGTTGTACCAGTATGTTGTCTTTGTGATCCTCTTCCAGTATTTTTTGCATCATCTTTCCACTGCTATTTAATGTATTAACACCATTCTCAGAAATTATTGCTTCATGCTGCCCATATCACTTTCTTAGCCATACTCATGACCTTTGAACATTTAAATTTCAGTAAATGTATCTTATTTTTCTAATAATTTTCCAGACAGACCTACATTCATAATTAGTCTTAAAGACAAGACGCTATATTACATGCAGTCAGAAAGTTTCCTAAACACTTTCTCTCTTCTCTTTTTAACCTATTGCAACATTGAGACATTTGGATAACACTGCCAGTGCTACAGTAGCTTCCACACCTATGCAGGTTCATTTGTTCCCTTATTGTAATGCTAATATGTATGTCTGTGCTAATATTTGCTTCTCCAAATCAAGAATATATTCATAAAGGAATTCTAACTAACTGGATTGGTTTGTTGACTCTAGTTTGACATTTGCCTTCACCCTGTTATATTTAACAGCTAATTAAGATCCACATACATAGAGAGATAAATATATATACATATCAATTTTATTTGGCTATATATATGTACATGAACACACACACATACATATATGTAAATTCTAAGTGAAAATAACCTTCAATTGCCCTACTAGTGCTCATAAAGGAACCTATGGGTATTTGTTAAGTGAATTTAAGTATGTCTCTTGTTTTTAGCATAGTAGGATGAAGACAGCAGTTGAAAGATTAACTTGAAATATCACTGATGATGGAAAATTCTATGGAAAATTTTGTTTACATAGACAAAGGTGTAAAATCAAAGGGTTCACATGCATTTTTGATAATAATTTTGATAGGTATTTGATACTATATATACACTATATATATGAGATTTGATATACTATATATACCATATATATTAGATTTTGATACTAATACCTAAGTGTGAGAAAGACATTAACCAAGCAATTAATATGAGACTGCCAATGAATGAACTTCAAGACTGTCAGTTGACTCAGCTTGCCCCAAATTCTGCTGCTAGCCTGCTCCATAACCCTGTGCAAATACTTTTTTATGCCTTCATTTGGACAAGAGAGTTCATGAATTTTTAGAACGTTAATGGATAATTCCATAAAGCATAACAATCCCATTCCCCCTTTTATAGTAAAAAGAGTAAAATGCAATCTGAAGAAAAATTATATATACATATATGTAAGTACATACATGCATTGAACAAGTTAATTTTAAAAGATTAGGCATGATATTTTTAGTAAACACTCCAGTTCCCTTTGACTTCAGAAAAAGTTACCTATTTTTAGGCAGCAAGGTATTCCCTAAAGAAAATCTACTGAGAATTCTTGAGCTAGAACAATGCACAGCTACCACACAATTAAATACAATTGAAATGAGAATTATAAACAAGACAAACACCAATTTTCTTTTTCTTACCTGCTGGTTTACTGGAAAATTCCTGTTGATTTTTTTTATCTATAAAAATGAATAAAGAAATAGGTTAATACTCAGTCAATAGATAAAAAACAACTGAACAAAAATAAACACCATTTGATTTTAGAGACAAATACCAGATACTTCCTTCCTAATTACGTATAAAAAAAGAAGGAAGTTTTCATTGAAGAGGTTGAAAAGTTTGACAAGCTCATGTGAATAATAGGACATTTGGGTCACTATGTAGTTCATTCCACTGTTCAGAATACTGGAAAGGAGAATACATACAAAATTATTTATGAGTTCTATAATACCAGATCTTTTGCTTTTATCTGATAAGAATCAGAGAATTGTTCGTGTTGGAAGGGTGCTGGAAGCCGTAACTTAAATTGGAGTATTTAATTATATAAGTAACTCAGAACAACTTCCTGCCATCTACCAAAGTCATCAAGCTTTAAGCAAATTCCTTTCCTGAAAAAGTAGGGAAAATTGGGCTGGAATACCTTTTGAAACAGCCCTTACTCTAGCCTTCTTATCCTAGGTGAAAATCAAGTGGGCAAAATCAGTTTTGGTAATTATTCAAGTAATATTTTTTCTTTAAACATTCAACAATACCCCTTGGTAAAAACAAAAAAAAACAAACAGCATGAGGCACCTGATTGATTAGGAGTTTGGGGCACAGCGTATGTTTCCAGTCACCTGGTGGTTGCTTCCACCATGGTAAGCACATGGCGCTTGCCTTGGCGGGTTGTCGGCAGTGTGATATAGTCAATCTGCCAGGCTTCCCCATATTTATACTTCAACCGTCGTCCTCCATACCAAAGAGGCTTTAACCATTTGGCTTGCTTAATTGCAGCACAGGTTTCACACTCATCAATAACCTGGGCAAGAGTGTCCATTGTTAAGTCCACCCCTCGATCACGGGCCCATCTATATGTTGCATCTCTGCCCTGATGGCCTGAAGTGTCATGGGCCCACCGGGCCAAAAATAATTCACCTTTATGTTGCCAATCTAAGTCCATCCGAGCCACTTCAATCTTAGCCGCTTTATCCACTTGTTGGTTGTTCTGGTGTTCCTCAGTGGCCCGACTCTTGGGTACATGGGCATCTACATAACGTACCTTCACCACCACGTTCTGCACCCTGGCAGCAATATCTTTCCACAGTGCAGCAGCCCAGATGGGTTTACCTCTGCGTTGCCAGTTGCTCTGCTTCCATTGCTTCAACCACCCCCGCAGGGCATTTGCCACCATCCATGAGTCAGTATAGAGATAAAGTACTGGCCACTTTTCTCATTCAGCAATGTCCAGGGCCAGCTGGATGGCTTTCACCTCGGCAAAGTGACTTGATTCACCCTCTCCATCAGCAGTTTCTGCAACTTGTCGTCCAGGACTCCATACAGCTGCCTTCCATCTCCGATGCTTTCCCACAATACGGCAAGAGCCATCAGTAAGCAAGGCATACTGCTTTTCACTTTCTGACAGTTTATTATATGGTGGGGCCTCTTCAGCATGCACCACCTCCTCCTCTGGTGACATTCCGAAATCTTTGCCCTCTGGCCAGTCCATGATGACTTCTAGAATGCCTGGATGACTGAGATTTCCTATTCGAGTTTGTTGTGTAATTAGTGCAGCCCATTTACTCCATGTAGCATCAGTTGATGATGTGCAGAGGAGACCCTGCCTTTGAACATCCAGCCCAGCACGGCCAACCGGGGTGCCAGGAGGAGCTGTGCTTCAGTGCCAATCACTTCCGAAGCAGCTCGAACCCCTTCATAGGCTGCCAGTATCTCTTTCTCAGTTGGGGTATAGCTGGCCTCAGATCCTTTATATCCCCGACTCCAAAAGCCGAGGGGTCGACCTCGAGTCTCCCCTGGAGCTTTCTGCCAGAGGCTCCAGGTAGGACCGTTCTCCCCAGCTGCAGTGTACAGTACATTTTTTACATCTGGCCCGGTCCGGACAGGTCCAAGGGCTACTGCATGAACTATCTCGCGTTTAATTTGCTCAAAGGCTTGTTGTTGCTCAGGGCCCCATTTAAAATCATTCTTCTTCCGGGTCACATGATAGAGAGGGCTTACAATCAAACTGTAATTTGCGATGTGCATTCTCCAGAACTCCACAGCACCCAAGAAAGCTTGTGTTTCTTTCTTATTAGTTGGTGGAGACATTGCTGTTATCTTGTTGATCACATCTGTGGGGATCTGTCTACATCCATCTTGCCATTTTATTCCCAAAAATTGAATCTCCTGTGCAGGTCCCTTGACCTTACTCCATTTTATGGCAAAACCGGCTTTCAGCAGGATTTGGATTATTTTCCTCCCTTTCTCAAAGACTTCTTCCGCTGTATCACCCCACACAATAATGTCATCAATGTATTGCAGGTGTTCTGGAGCTTGCCCCTGTTCCAGTGCAGTCTGGATCAGTCCATGGCAAACGGCAGGGCTGTGTTTCCACCCCTGGGGCAGTCTACCCCTGAGGTAGTCTATGCCGAGGATGCATGGAGCCTCTGGACCAGTCACAATAGGGTGCTTTTGCCATTCCCTCCCAGTCAGGCTGATTTCAGCCTCCAGCACAGTCAATTCTTGGGATCCTCCTGTCACTGCAGAGATATAAATGGGTTCCACCCCTTGACAGCTTGATGGCATCAGGGTACACTGTGCACCGGTATCTACTACAGCCTTATACTTCTGTGGGACTGATGTGCCAGGCCATCTGATCCACACAGTCCAGTAAATCCGATTGTCCCCTATCTCCACCTGGCTGGAGGCAGGGCCCCTCTAATGGTCATCACAGTGTTGGACACTTAAGTCGTGGTGAAAGGATTATTCTTCGTTATCACAGGAGCTGGAGTAAAATCAGCTCTTCCACTCCATATGGGAAATTGCTCACCAGAGACTGAAGCTGTGGCTCTCATGGGACGATCAGTCTTGGCCCTTGCTCCCCTCTTTAATTCACTCACCCGTTCCTCCAAAGCTGAAGTAGGTTTTCCATCCCACTTTGTCATGTCTTCTCCTTGATCCCGCAGGTAAAACCATAGGGTACCCCGTGGCGTATACCTCCTGTATCTCCTCTCTCAAACAATAGGACGCCTTTTGTTAATAGCTGAGACGTGTGTTGGTACACGTGAGGAGCTGGATAAATCAGATAGATCGTCCCTCAATTTTTTGAGGTCCTGGGACAGTTTTTCCACAGCTGAGATGATGGAAGGGGTGAGATTGTCTTTGAACTCTCAGAGTTTATGAACCATTTCATCCACTGTTAGTGGTACTGTCATTCCAGGTTACTGTTGCCAATGAATGGGCATACGATGACGGTGCATTCGTGTAAGTTCTCGCGACATGGGTCGTGTCCATTCAGCTTCATCTGGATCTATGGGTATATCCCCGTTATTCAGCTTGATGTGATAGATATCTCTACTATGGCTGATTCCCTCAGAGACTGGATGCCTTTGTCTATAGTAGTCCACTTGGCCGAACGACTCGTAACATCGTCCTTGTACGGAAACCTTTCTTTCACAGCTGCCAAGAGCCGCCTCCAAAGACTGAGGGACTTTTTCTCTCTTGCAATTGCTTTGTCAATTCCCCCTTCTCTAGCAAGTGATCCCAGCTGCTTGGCTTCTGTACCTTCTAGTTCGTGACCATTGGCCCCATTGTCCCAGCATCAGAGTAACCACGTGATGATGTGCTCCCCTGGTTGACGGGTAAAATCTTTTTGCATATTCCGTAGCTCAGTTGAGGTCCGAGGTCGAGAAGTCACCTCTTTTTATTCTTCTTCATCATGTGATGATGACTCCTGATCAGATTCTGGACCGGGTGGTGAATTCATTGTTTCTTCATCTTGCTTCACCCTTCTTGCCTCTTTTTTGCTTGTTCTCTTGCGTATAGGGGCAACCGATATTGGCACGAATTGGTCCTCTGGTTTGGCTGCAGTGATTATCACTGTGGTTTGAGTAGCAACTGTACTTGTTGCTGGGGGTGGTGTAGCTGCTGTGCTTGGAGCTGGGGTAATCGCGCTGTCTGTCGCAGTCGAAGTTTGAGCAGCTGCTGTACTTGCCACTGGGGTAGCTGCGCTGTTCATTGCAGCCAAAGTTTGAGTAGCGACTGTACTTGTCACTGGGGCTGGTGAAGCTGCTGTGCTTGGAGCTGGAGTAGCTGCGCTGACTGTTGCTTTGCCCTCAGATCCAGGGACATTCTTTTCCTTTTGAAGGTGCTGGATAGTGTTGAAGAAGGCCCTGTAAGCGTAGGCCAAGCCCCAGCACGTTGCCATGATTTGTCCATCTCTGGTATGGCCAGAATGACCACACACCTCATGTAAGCGTTTTACTCATTTTTCCAGATTTTGCAGTTGTTTGGCAGTGAAATTCCAAAGTACTGGAGGGGCCCACTGACCTAGATACTTGCCCATACTATCCCACACACCCTGCCACTCATGACTGTCCAGCCTCAGGGAAAATCTCTTGGTCCTCCTACATCCTTGTTTGACCCCAGACAAGACCCAAACCTGACTCTGCTTAACTCTTGAAATCAGTCGTGGGCAAAACACACTCTGTATGCGTGCTAGCATGGTGATTCCCATCACGATCAGCAAACAAGTCTCAACAGCATTAAAAGGCCATTCAAAAACTTCAGAACTCTCAAATGTAAATGGTCTGGGGGGAGGACTTGGAGGGTAGAAGGATGTCTCCTTCACAGGTTGAGCACCTGAGCAGGAGAAAAAAGATGTGTAACTGCTAAGCACTTCTATTATATACCTCTCAAAGTATAAAGGTGGTGACCACACTGGGAACATAAGCCATATCAGTTTCATGATCAATGATTCTATTGTATTAAAAGTCATTACCATAAAGTACAAGGAGACAAAAACCTTAGCCCAAGCCCCACACTTGAAAAACACTAATACAGCAAATACTGGATGGAAGTAAGATATGATATACTGAAACTGTGAGATCAAGAGGAACAACCTTGACAGCCAATAAACCAGCACTGTGATGAGCGACTATTAATCCGGTCAGGTCTGTCGTTATCTCAACCCCTCGTGCCCCAT